ATTTTCTTGTTAGTAGTGGAGCTAGTTGAGTCGTCCTGTATTTCCGTTTTTCTATAGTTTTATGTATTTCCTATAAGAAGATATTGAAATCGTTATCAATTATTGAGGAGTGTTTTATTCTCAAACCATTATTTTTTATTACCCTCACTTATGATTAACATAAATGTGATTGTTTTCTAAAATATGATAAAAAAAAAACGTTGAAATATCAAACTCTGGTTTAAACTATTAATTTGGTAGACAAAGTTGGCAAAAGTTTGGTAAAAATTAAAGGTTTTTTTTTTTTCTTCTTTTGCATTTAATGAACTAGGGGCATAAAAATAATTTTACCTTGTTACATCATAATTATCTGCTAGGGATCCGAAACATTATGTTTTAAAAATGGGTCTATTTTCAAAAGTTTTAAAAGAAGTATAGACACAAGACAAGCTGAAGGGCATACACCCTTGCCAAAGTTAGAAATTCCAAAATTAGCTGTCAAAATGTTGAGTCTCTTTTTCTATATATAAAAGAGTTAAAAGCATAAATAAAAATAGGCCCAAGAGAGCCTTTATCCCAACCAAGATGGGATTGAGCCAATATTTTCAAATTTTCAATACGCAGGCCGAAAGCTGTTAGTAAGTAGGCACTGTGCCGTATTGCTAAGAGGCTCTCGAGTAATATTGTCAAGCACAGAGAAAGGCGATTGATGAGAAAGCTTCATTAAGTCAAAAAGGATGGAAAAGAGCCTCAACTAACATAGGGCCACTTACCTTATTAAATAGGGGCTCCTTCAAAAAAAAAAAAAAAAAATTCCCTTTATACCCACTCAAGAGTTCATTCTTTGGAATTTCTCCTAAAAAGATCTTATTACTTTTCATTTTGTTTGAAGAATCCGTTTAAATTTTCAAAATTTTAATTAATATCTTTAAGCTTTAAAAAATTTAGAAATAAAAGGTACTTTATTTTTAAATTACTTATGAACTCTTAAAATTTGAAGAACAAACCACTCCATGATTTCTTATCTTTTAAAAAATTCAAAAATAAAAAACATAATAAGCTGACCATATGAAGAAATTTGTTAAAAAAGAAAAAGAAGAAAAACAAATGTTTGTTGTGACACAAACCAAAACAATGAATAATAAGAGTCTGTTTATTTATATTAAAAAATAATATGAAATATTGATGATTTATAGTTAGATGAGAAATTTAAAATATATAAAAGATACTCATAATAATAAAAATATATAAAAGAAATTCAATAAGATGAATTCAGCTACAGTCGGAGTCGAACTCGAACTCGTGCGGGTAATTTTCTAGTAAGAAAACATTACCATTCTAATAGACTCGTGACTTCACAAGTTTTATAATGTATTTTATATATTATGTTTAGTTTGGGTCAACCCGAGGTTTTTATACAATGAACCCAAAATCGAACCCAATCATTTTGGGTTCAGGAAAAATAACCCAATCCAATCCCTATAATTCGAGTTGCGTTGGTCTGGGTTGTCGGGTTGGATATACACCTCTACCCAAGATTTGATGTTCGTAGCCGTGTACCAACACACCAAGTTTGGCTTAAATGAGACATAGATATGTCAACTATATATCCAAACTCACTCAATGTTACAATGTCAGATTTTTGTATGATCTCTAAAGTCGAATGATTCTAAGTGATTTTTTAGAACTATTATATTCCAATTACCGTTCAACTATGTTTAATGTACGTTTTAGTTATGCTCTAGATTTTGTTGAGTTCGTACGCTAAATGATGGATAAAATTTAACCATCGTGAGCTTTTATTATGAATTTCATTTACTTGTACACTCGAGCAAGAGACTTTTCCGTTCACATTCTGACATTTTGAGAATTTTTTCAATGTTCTAATCATTTAGGAAGCAATTGTTGTTGTGGTCCTAGGTCCTCTTAGATACTTGGAAAATTGGACTAATCTTTGTGAGCTTACATGATGAGAGAGGTCATACAAGTTCTTGTGTGATTATGAGCGTTTTCATCGTTACAAGACCTTTATGTGTCTTTAGAGCTCAGAAGTTGAACCACTTTGTAGGCGCATGCTTGAGAATTTGTGGGGCTTTTGGTGGGCACCTCGTTCTACAAAATGGCTTTTGCCTTGAACTGCCACCACTACAAGGAATAGATACTTTGCCACTTCCAACTTTTATACTTTAGCTCTGATTTGTACGTAGGACAAGGGAGTCGAACATAAATAAACGAAGACTACGTTTAAATGAAAGTGATCTTGAAGATGTGATAACTAAGAAACACTAAAAAAAAATTGAAATTTTATATATATACGAATAAGGTGTACCCGTTCAGGGCAAGATAAGTTTGCTTGGCTTGAAGCGTACAATTTTAATAACCAAAATTTTGAATGTAGACTAAAAGGAATTTGGATTAAATAAATATTAATATATACGAGAGAATTAAGAAAATTCTACTGTCGCCGGCCATGTGGTATCAAGTTTTTGACTCCAAGAGATGACTGAATAGTAAGAAAGTTTTCAAAATGTCGTGTGAGATCCCACATCGGTTGGGGAGGAGAACAGAACATTCTTTATAAGGGGTGTGGAAGCCTCTTCTTAGCAAACACGTTTTAGAAACCTTGAGGGAAACTTGAAAGAGAAAGCCCAAGGAGGACAATATCTACTGTTGGTTGCCTTGGGCCGTTACATGCGAGTTCTGGCTCCAAAAGGTAATTTTCTTGAGCCCCATGGTGTCGAAAAAAGGAATAGTAGTGGACCTAACTAAGGTTAATGCAGTAATTGGAATAGTCTCATCCGACTATAGTGGTCAAGGTACGTAGCTTTCTGAGACTAGTAGGCTACTACTGTGGGTTCATATAGGATTTCTCTAGGATTATAGTCGCCCTGACCCAGTTGACATAGAAGGGACAGTCGTTTATATGAGACTGAGCATGGAGACTGGTAACGACGCCAATGCTTACTATACCGGATGGGACTGGGAACTTCATTATACATATTGGTGCGTCGGGTAAGGGACTAGAATGCGTACCAATGTAGAATGAGATGGTGATTGCCTATGCCTCCCAATAGTTGAAAGAATACGAGAATAACTACCAACTTATGACTTGGAGTTGGTGTAGTGGTCTTTGACCTGAAGATCTAGAGGCACTACTTGCATGGAGAGAAGATATAGATCTACATACATCACAAGATCCTCAAGTACGGATCATGAATAAAGAGTTGAACATGAGGCACATGAGGTGGTTGAAGTTAGCCAAGGACTACGATATGGACATTCTCTACCACCTAGGTACGACGAATGTAGCCTCCAATGCCTGAGCAGGAAATGGCCCATGTCGACACTGACACGAGGCAAGTTGAGATATAGGCTAACAAGGAGAGGGTCGAGATAGAAGTGATGGTCAAAGGAGCAGCAACAAAGTTGGCCTATTTGACCATCCAATCGACTTTGAGGCAACAAATCATAGCAACATAGGAAGAGGATCCTGGGCGAAGTTTATGATTCGCTCACACATGAGAGTTTTCATTGACCACATATGACAGTCTTCTTTAGAACGTCAGGTTATGTGTTCTTGTCGATGATAAACTGAAAGGGGTGTTGTTATCAGAGCCTCACAACTTGTTGTACACGATGCATTCAAGAAGTACCAAGATGTATCAGGATCTGAAGACCTACTACTAGTCGTACGGTATGATGAGGGACGTAGCAGAATATACGAATAAGTGTTCGTTCAGTCAACAAGTTAAAGCACCAATACATAAACCCTCAAAATTAATGTAACATCTGAGCATTTCACAACGAAAGTAGGAAGATGTGGTCATGGACTTTATCTTAGGGTTTCCAAAGACAAGAAAATGCTTCACGTTAATCTTGGTCATCATTGATAGGCTGACAAAATTGGAACACTTCATCTTAAGAAAGACTACCTATTTGATAGATCGACACACTTCATCTTAAGAAAGACTGCCTATTTGATAGATAAGTGGGAGCAATTGTACCTAGAGGAGATAATCAAGTTACATAGTGAGCCAGTATTTATAGTATTAGGCTAAGATACCTAGAAATTATAGAAAAGTTTATAAAAAGCATTGGGTACTCAATGAAGATTTAGCCCAACCTTTCACTTTCAAAGTGTAACGGAACCACAAAAAAAAAAAAAAAAAACATGATGGTCGTCGGCAGAGCCGAAAACTCCGGCGAATGTCGGAGTTTTCGCTCGCACACGACCCACAAAGGACGGCCGAGGGCTTGGATGCCACAAATCGCATCCCCGACCTTCAGCCACCCTGAAAGCACCTGCAAAGAAACGAAAACGGTAAGAAAAAAGGAGAGAGAACAGAAAACCGACGGAACTCCGGCGAAGCCGAACCGTACGAATCGACGTCGAAAACCCCCATTTCACACCACAAAAGTAATCCCAGAACCCTTTACACACATAAAGAGTAGGTTTTAGACGAATCCCGTACGCTGAACACCGTCGACGCTGAACACTGTCGGCAAGGAAGACGGAACAGCGGACTTTCGAGCTTCTCCAGATCCGGGAGTGCGAGGCCCTTACCAACGAAATTTGTACCAAAAACGGGGTTAGGGTGAAGGATAGGCTTGGGAACGGAAAAAAAAAAGGAAAAAAAAGGACGTCGGGACGACGTTGTCGAGGAGAGAGAGAGACCGCCGGAAAATCGCGCTGGAGTCGGGCGAAGAGGACGAAGTCCGACCCGAGATCCAGATCTGGAAACCCGAACCGAACCCCGTCCCTTCGGTCGAACCAGAACCCACGTTACCCACAGCCCAAACACTCGGCCTCCACCCGCGAGCCAGCCCATCACCGCGCGGCCCGTCACTTGCGTTCGACCCGTTAACCCGCGTCTCGACCCAAGACGCCTGCACACACGTCGCCCTCTGATTGTGCCACGTGTCACGTCTGCAGCACGGCTCCTCTCGGCTCAGGCGGCTTCATCGGCTCGGCGGCGGCTCTTTGGCTCCAGTGGCTTATTCGGCTCGGGAAACCTGTTTCCAGCCCGTTTGACACCGTTCCGACCCACTCGGACCTGGTTTCGGCCCTGTTTAAGGTAAAAGGGAACATGTTAAGGTCGTATTTCACAAATTCCAGTTGGGAATTTATTATTATTTGTGGAATACTAACGGAAGTGACTCATGAACCAATAGAAACCAACCACCAACGGAAGTGTAGAACGTCCACGAGGAGCTAAGAGCTTACGTTATATTCTAGGGAGTACTTCGGCTAAGGCCTACCAAGTAAGTGGCTCACCCATTGTAGGTTACGCATTAATTGCCGTATGTTGGCATGTGCCCGTGGTTATGCACGTGCCATTAAATTGTTTGCTAGCTTAATATGCTTAAGTACGAAATCATGTGAATGTGAATGTATGTTATTTATGCTACTTATTGGATGTGATATGAATGCATGTACCGATGTGTGACCCGTGTACGATTATGGCTTGTTGTATGAGTATGGGAATGTGATTGAATGAATTGCATGATATGGAATACGGTAAATTGCATGATACATAACCCCGCTAGGAATATGTACGATATGTAATGACATGTAAGCATGAAAACGTGACGCGGGGTTATGCTCATTAAATGATGACTGTAGGACTAGTGGGACCTCATGCATATTGTGTGTTCATGCATTTGGGGGGATACCCCTATCCCATCACGAGGGTACGGACGCGTACATCCAAATGGCAGGACAACGATCGTTATGCTCTGCATAGCGCTGCCGTGACGGTTTTAGATTTAACGGGTCCCGGTGTGCGAACTAGCTGGTGAGCCCATACTCGCACGTATGGGCTACGTGTAGAGTATATGATACACGTCCACGATTACCTGTTAGGACTACACCGTTGGGAAAACGAAATGAAATAAAACGAAACGAAACGAAAAAGAAACGAAACGGAACGATAGGTCCCATCATTTCATTGCATGTGTTTGTCGCATAACCCCGATAGGGGGGTCACTTACTGAATATTCTAGAAATACTCAAGCCTCGTGCTACTTTACTTTTGCAGATAAGGGCAAGGCACCCATGTGACAACGACGACGGCATCGAACACCTTAGGGTCGTGGCACATGCATAGGGTAGTTGGTTGTTTTTTTTTTCATTTCTAGTATAGGTTAGAAGGGGATGAAATGTATTCGCATAATAAACCTTAGGGTAGAATAAACTATTCATTCTTGTTTTTGTTGCTTTTTCCTTTCTTTCAATAATGTTTCCTTTTTTTTTTTCCTTGTAATCTTTGTTTTTGAGGTAATAAAAAGGCGAGTGCGAACAACATTTATGAATAGGGTCCATTAAATGTATATTCCGCATTTCAAAGTATGGTAATGACCTTAGATTAAATAGGTAAAATATTATGGTCGTTACACAAAGTGATGGAGAGACATAAAGTTGTAAAGGATCCGCACAAAAGCCATATCGAATTAGCTACAAAAACAATTTTCACCTATGCAAATCAAAGAACAAGTCCTTACAAGAGACGCAGTCATAGACCATGAGCCTCTAGTCCTACAAAAATACTTGAGCAATGAAGAGCAAAGTGATAAGTATCATGGTGTTCCAAATGTTCCAACTAAATCTATTACGCGATCCAAGACCAAAAAAATTCAACAAGCATTCATTTTTCATCTACAAAATTAGACATTCTCGATTAAACCTCCATTTCATTGGTTACAAGCTAACTCAATTGAGGAACAACCATTTAGAGCTTCATACGTGAATATTTGCACGATTGAAGTGGAGGATGGGATCGCTATATATATAGCACTTGATTGATAATTTTTTTGAAAAGTTTATATATTATTTTAATTCTATAAGTTCTTGTAGTGGGTAAAAGGTGGGAAGTTACTTGTCAAAATGTCATTACTTCTTTTTTACTCGACATGTGGAGGTTAGCGGGAGAGTAACTTAACAATCCTGGCCACTAATTTATTTTAGTGAACATTTGAAAAGTACGAGTTCTTGTGTGTGACTATAAATACCCACAAATTAGTATGTAAGAAAGCACATTTTTAATTAATGAAATTGAGTTCTCAAGTTGAGACTTTCATCTTCAGAAATTGAGCATCATTTCTATCATTTCTAAGTTTTAAGCAATTCTTGCCGTAGATTGCGAGCCATTTAATCAAGCCTTGATCAAGTTTGATCATGGAACGACTCAATTTAGAACAAGTTTCAAATCTTACTTCTAAATCTTTGATCTTAAATATAATCTAGTTCTAATATTTTTTTTGTTGGTTTATCCAAATTTTTTATCCGAACCGCGAAGAAACAGCTGCCGAAATGGATTTGCTAGACCCACGATAATCAATGTGTCTTTTCATGGATTTGTAAGTTACCCCTGTTGAATGATGAAAGTCCCACATAGGCTCATTTAGAGAATGATGTGAGGCCTCTTGGGAAGCCCAAAGCAAAGGTATGAGACCTTACGCTCAAAGTGGACAATATCATACCATTGTGGACAGTCGTGTTTGTCTAACAACCCCCATATGAACTTTAGATTAAGACGAGCTTATAATATGTATGAAAATATGTTATTAAATTTTAGAACTGAAATAAGTTGATTTGATTGAAAATAAGCCGTTAAACTATTATGATGCTCGATTTTTATGACAATGATAGAATGAACTCATAATTATACAAAAGTGAAAGTATGACTAGATAACCATGTTTAGATCACTATACTATGTCCCTTATGATGATATGATCATGCATGTATGTTGATGTTGTTGTGCGGGGACTATTAGGAATTTGCCAACTAACCCCTAGTCATAAACATGACTCGACTGTCGGAGTTTTATATAACATTTTATTATGTTTATTAGCGGGTAGAACTAGGATTAAGCTCTAAAATGCATGAACCTTGTGAGATAAACCTGACAAGTGTTTGTGGGTGTGGTTAGGGGGTCTCTAACCGCTCCCTAATCATGATTAAGGACCAAATAGGTAGATGAGTGTTGGCAACATTGAGGATCGCAACCTCCTTTTATGATTATAATATTATGAAGCCTATTAGGGAGATGCCAACTAAAAAAATCTGAGAACATTGTCTATAAAGGTATGATGAGAACTATGGGTTGGAATTGACTTCGGAGTCGTGCCTCAAAGACCTATGAGATATTGGTCTATGAATATGATGATAATGATATAAGGACTAGCAGAACATCTAACTAAGATAACTTAAAACCTTAGAACCATCTAATCAAGATAACTACCTTATAGTAGCAAGAAGGAACCCTTAGAAATGACAGCTCATACACAGCTAAGAAAGAGAACTTACTTTCGCATCATGACCCTAAGTCGAGCTTAATCGGTGCTTGAGTCTCTTGAAGCGAACTTTACTAGAATTTTATTTTATGCTTTGCTCTCTCCGTTGCCATATACTAAATGATATAGCACAACTTGTAGTTAACATGATGCCATATATAAACCCTACCCAAATCACTTCAAACTAACATTTACAAACAACATAAGCAAAGCAAGAACCTGAACCTAACTTTCTGTAATATAATGGCTATCAGTTTCATCGTCCCGAGCCTCGACGATCTAGCTAAAACACTGGACATCCTTTAACGACGATCCCGGGAGCGGTTGGACACTTAGCCAAAGGACAGTGATCGGGTTGTGATCCCCACCACTTCAAGCTATGGCCCCCATTCTGCAGCACAATGAAAAGCAGCACGCCCATGAATGCTGTCCCTGCGTCGAGCGCGGCCGAGAGGACGTAGTTGTACTTCTGCCACCATCGCTTATGGTGTCGGAAGACGAAATAGTTGAAGATGGTACCAGTGATGAGCCAACTAGCTATGTTTGTAGGAGTTGCTGGTGGCATCCCTGCGAAGCCATAGGATATGACTGGTATGTTTATCAGTGCAATCCATTTTTTTTCAGGGAAAGCTTTACTCAATGCCCAAATAGGAACTGGAAGAAGAGCTCCAATCAGGAATAGCCACACCAAGTTTCGATACAACCCGCCCGGTCCAAACAATCGCCTCGGTCCTATTAGTCCCCAGATAACAGATGCATCAAACGTCACTCGGTATTTCGGACACGTCCATGGACTATCAGGTTGAAGAGCCTCAGTATCACAGATGTTCTCTATATTGTCTAACATCCACCAAGCAACAGTGAGGTTAATGGTCCCGGCAACGAGTGTCCCGACTAACTGAGAAAACACGAATCAGTCAAGATCATAAACTCTTAAAAAAAACACTGAAGTTTGCTAAAAGATCACCTGGGCAGTGTACATGCATCTTGGGGGGATTTTCATGTAATGGCCAAGTTTAAGATCAGATAAGAAAGAAAGAGCATGAACGGTACTGATTCTTCCATAGATCTTGAAAAGAAGATTTGCTATTGGTTTTCCAGGGAGAATATAACCAATGATGAACTGTGCTATGATATCATATCCAGGTTGCTGCATAACATTCCATATGGATTTATAAGTCGTTTGTTTTAGAACGTAAACAAAGTCGAGCGTGTGCTACTACTACTAATTCCCGTTCGATTACCTGGTTGGTTGTGGCTTGAATGACCCCGATTGGGAGGGTGACAATCCAAGCCATAGCGAAGGCGAATAGCATACCCCACCACGGCAGCTGCACGACGTCCTTCCACACAATCGACATCAGAAGAGATATCACAGTGCTACCAAATAATAGGATCAAGAACCACCATTCTGGCACTTGTTTGTAGTATTGCATCAGCTTGGCGTGGATGTCCAGTCTTGCATTCTTGATTGCTGCCCTTCTCTGCTTCCATATGTCTCTAAAACATTGAAAGTGCACAATCTTAAACTTGGTCTATAACTATAGTGATATATGTATTCGATCTCTAGTCTCTAAACTTAATCGACTTAATGTGTGAACAAACATGGGTTGATTGCATACCGGCCGTGAAACAATGCGACATGTGTAAGAGTAGCAGTAAACCTGGCAAAGCCAGATCCAATGGAGAGGGCAAACAAGGGGCTAAGATAGAGCTTCCCGTAGTTATTATAAGCAGCAACATTGAGCTCAAAATCGGGAGTCAAAACCTTGGTAGTATCATATTTCTGGCCTGTTCTGGTGAAGAGCTTATTAGAGAAAATGGGGAATTTGCGGGCATCGAAGGTGTTGAACTTCCAGTAGCAAACAGGGAGGATGATATAAATGAACATAACAAACCCAACACCCACGTTTAGAATTGAGGACCATGGCGACACCAGTGGGCTTCCATGGTAGGCCGAAATCCCAGCCCAATCAAAGCTGAAAGCACCGAGCCCAAGTCCACTTTGGCTCGACCCTGGCTCGACCCAATTTGCTGAGCCGTGATGCTGCGAGACCAAACCCAACAAACCCACGAGAAGAATGATAAGATTTGTAACAAGTAACCTGGAAAAGCGTAGTACACAAAGCTTGCTCCCATCAAGATTAGGAAGAATTTCATCCTTGTCATCCCTTTTGATCTGTCCTCCGTCTCACGAAGGGCTCTAAAACAGGACAAAGAAAACAGAGCAAGGCAAAGAAAACAGAGCATGTCAGAGTTAAAAGCTGCTAAGCCTCTGAGCTCCAAATCTGGAAAAGGGATTAAGAAACCGTACCTAAACAGAGAAACCTGTGCCAGATTTGCAGGCCACCACATTTCAACAGGATCTACCAGGTACCTTCTCAGCATTCCAGCCCATCCATATCCCAAAACCTGAAGAACAGCCAAAGAGAAAAAAATTCAAAACAGGGGAATGTAAGAAAAGGGTCTAGATCTTATCAATCGGGATGTTTTAGAAAATGGGTGTTCATTATTTTTTACTAAAATCGATATTCAAAAGACAAAACTTTGGAATTGGCCCTTTTTCGTTCATAAAGATGCAAACCTGGGTAGTTAAGACGATGAGAAGGGCTAAGAAGAAATTCAAGCCCTGTTTATAATAAGCTTTCATGACAGTAATGGCGCCGATGGAATAGGCGTCACCGCCGCCATAGGAGATGCCACAGTTAGCAAAAATGGTGATAATAACATGCTCCTTCATATTGAAAGGGCCAGGATTGAGACTAAACTTCCATCGAAAGAAA